TTTTCTAAGCAATGCTTTCTATTTCTCAAACTTTGCAATTCTGTGTTTTATTATGTTTCTCCACCCAGGACAAAAATACTCCAAAAATAGAGATATTCTACAAATACCATATTGGTAGAAAAGAATAAAACTGAAATGGCTAAATATATCCTAAATGCTTTCCAATACAATTCTATTTTGGCCCCAGAACACCCCTATGAAGTAAATAGTATCAACCTACTTTTACCATAAGAGTCCAGTAACAGCTGGAACAAGAAATAAAAGTCAAAATCCCAAGATTTCCCTCCATACCTCACCACTCCTTAAAAAGACTGTTCCCCAAACTGTAGACTTTGACATGACCTTGGGTGAAACTAAGCACTAACGAGTTAAAGATCCCACTATTGTGGAGTGGGGGAAGGGTCTATTCTTCTCAATGAGAGAGTTATTGTAGGTGTAGAAATCTGTTAATTTATCAGGTTTATCATTCATTAACAGCTTTTTGTTTTTGAATTTTACCTTTTGAAGACTTTTTAATACAATTTTGTTACCATTGCATTTACTTTTATGGTTACATTCTATGGACTGCAAGTGGATACTAATTTTTCTTTTATTCATAGACAATTTTAAAAGTGAATCATATAAATAACATGCAGAGGATTAGGAATGGTACAAGTAGCAAATTGATTAACCAAAAATCAGAAGGAAAACATACCAGTGTCAGAAATTTGGGAAACACTAATCTGACAGAGGAGATATTTGGCAGTGTTCTTGGAAGGGGTTTACTTCACCTACAGGTTAATTAAGTCCTACGGAAGGGAGCATCCATTTAATCAGCTGTATAAGGGAAAAGGCCAGAAATACAGAAGATTCAACAGGGATAGATGTTAATCAAAGAAAAAGTCTCTTCTTGTTTTGTCTTCTCAATGTTTTCTTCTCAAAACACTCAGTTCTGCCAGGTGTAGTCGTGCATGCCTTATATTCCCAGCATTGGGGAGGCTGAGGCAGGAGGACCGCTGCAAGTTTAAGGCCAACCTGGGCTACATAGACAGGCCTTGTCTGAAAAGAAAAGCAATAAATTTTTTTATTTATTAAAATAAACACCCAGTCATAGTCCTACCTCTAACTCTACACTCCTTGACCCAGCATCCATTATTTTTCTAGTAAGCAGCTCATACATTTTTAAATCCAGCTAATTGGACACTGACATATCTGACTCATCTCTTTAGCACAAAGTGACTCAATTGAGTAAAACAAATTCTTATCCCCTCAGTACTGCAAATGGAAAATATCTACATACAAAATATAAAATAAATACACAAATTTTCTTAAGGAAACACAAAAAAAGAGGACAAAGTAGAAAATGCCAAGTGTTTAGCAAGACATCAGCTTCATTTCATTTAAATATTCCAAGGTTTGTCATAAATTCTTAATAGCTTCAAAAATCTAATTTTTTCACTACCAATTTTATTCTTGGCTAGACAGCAAAAACTGGCTTTCTTCTTTCTCCTCCTCTTCTTCTCTTCTTCTTCCTCTTCCTCTCTGTCTTCTCCTTTTCTGCCTCTTTTACTCCTGTGTTAAGCTGGAGCATTATGATACATGAGTCCTTAACTATGAACCATTGCAATAAAAATATCAGCTCTCTGCTGGGAATAGCACCAAAAAGTATAAAGACCTAGACTGTTATAAATTATCTGGGAGCAGAGTGTCTCCACCCTGCTGTAGAAGAGAGACTGAGAACACACAGGGAAATAGTCAAAAAGTCTGTGAGGGTAGTTGGTCTGTATTGAAACCCTTTTATAATTTAGAAGACACAAATGCACTTAACTTTAATATTAATCACATATTACTCATTGCATCATTATTGCAAAATTGAAAAGGTATAACAAACATGTCATAGGTCCCCTCTTCACACCCGTGGCTCACACTACTAACCATAGGACTCTTTCCTGTCAAACATTCTAGAGACACTACCTTTCGGATAGGAGGGGCAATGAAAACAGTAAGAATTTCTCCTATCCCCCAGTTTTGCTCCATCTCCATATTTCACCTTTCTGAAGGTGAGAAAAGAGACACAATCTGATTGGTGAGTTTTGACAGGAACTTTAGCCATGGTTGCCAAGCAGTCTGCCATACAGAGTATATGTTCCCAATTTTTCTCAGCCAGCTTTGAAGTTATCGGTCAATTTTCTTCTTGATCTTTAGTGAGATAAGCAGTGCTCTACACTCACCTGAAACTGGGTGTGCCACAATTAAGAATACAGAAGACCACTTGTACAGCAAATAGAATCCATGTTCTTCAATATCAATTTCCATAATAACAAAGGTGATGATGCCTTTATCTCTGCCTTACTCTCTCACCTGATTCAGATCATGGGCAAAAAAGAAAGGGGATATTTTGAGATCCCTTAAGTGCCCCGCCCAATAGCAATTGATTATGGTTCTCACAGGAAATAGATGTGCAGTGTAATACATCTCAGGAGCCATAATGTGCTCAGGTTTACAATTAAAGAGAGACACAAAGTTAGTGTTGTTGAGGATGATCTACTGAAGGAGACCCTAGATAGGTGCAACACTTTCATCACTAAAGCCCTGGGACGGCAGTACGGCTCAATAATTTTGTCATTGCTGCACACATGGTCCATCCAACTTATCCCATTGATTAAACTCAGAAGCAACTCTTATCTCCTGGTGGAAGTGTAAATTGGTACTGTCTTTTTTGGGGTAATTTGGCAGTACATAGCCAAATTGTAAATGTACTTACACGTTGTCATGGCAATCTACTTCCATGTATCTATCTCACAGAATATACTTACACAAAAATAAATGTCCAAGTTTACTGCTACAACAATTGTAATGATGGAAAACTGAAACTACTTAAATGCCCAGTCACAGAGAACTCATTAAACACTTAAGAATATTACGAATTGGCTTCTAGTCATTTTGTTTTTCAAATGCACTGTATCTGTACTGTATTTCAGTAAGTGAGATGGGGATGGGTGGAGAAGCAGTGCCCATTTACCACTCTCTATTTCTTTCATGTGAGAGTTTAAGTGAACATGTATTATTTTTATAATTAATAAAAATGAACATTGCTGTAATGGTTTAATTCAATTTCCTTCTTGGATGCTAATGCCCATCATTTTAACTGCTCCCAATTATTACAGTACCTGGTACTTGAACAGATAATCAGAAGGGTGGTGAGTGCACTTAGAATTGGGGCAATGATAGCAGTTACCTGGAGGGAGATGTCTCCGGATCTGAGTGTACCAGATTAATCCTTTCCCTTACAACAAAGTCCAACTCTCCTAGGACCGAAGTTCCTATGACTGCCAAAATCAAAGTCTCCTTTGCTTTCATGGGGCTGGATAAGCATCATTCAGGTCTTCATCCTTTGGTTCCCATTTCAGAAGCTCTAAGCATATCGTGAATATGTACTTTCTGATATAATGGGTTGAGTTTCAGCTTTGGCCAGATTACTGCCTGTGAGAAAATTAAAGATTTCTGCTCTCTCCCTTTTAAAGACTCAAGTTAGCATTCTAAAGGCTGTAAGTGACAATTCTATTTGACTTTGTCTAACTCAAGTTTATTTGACCCATTTTTCTTCCTAAGAAATCTGTTTCAAAGATCAAACTTTGGATAGCACTTTAGAAACAATTGTCAGAGTTCCATGTTTCAGCAATATTAATATTCTTCGTGGATTGAATATGAGCTGTCCTTATCTCCCTAGGACCTCTTCAGTCACTTGGGCTTTTCTCTAGTGGATGTCATTTCCACAGATGGTTGATACCATTGATCGCACGTGCACTGTACACACTGATCATCCATCCTTATTGTTGCACTCTCCTCTGCAATGCAGGATTGGATTTGTGTTTTATAATAATGCCCTGGACTTGCCTAGTGCTTTAAACTACTAAGGCCTTTTTCATATCTGTTAATTAATTTTGTTCTCACAATAAGTCTGTTAGGTGTAAGCAACACTGTGTCATTTGTAGCCTCGACAGATGGGGGAACTGAGATTTCAAGAAGTAACCAAGAATGTGTTGCAGTGATGACCAAACCAAGCCTACAACCAGTGTCTCCTACCTTTGAGGCTCGAACTAGAAACCATAACCTCAAGAACAGAACAGTTTCTCTATACTCTGGCCTTTACAAACCACTTGAAGTACTGAAGGGTTAATAGATGATGCCGACTTTAAACCACTAAGCTTCTCTCTATTGAAATAAACAGGCCTAAGTGATGCCAGTTGCTATTGTTTTGCTGCAGTCGTTATTCACTGGAGTTTCTGTTCGTCAAGGGAAGAAAAATATAACTATATTCCTCTTGGAATATGCTTTTCTTGGTCATGGCAAAGGAAAGCAGTACAGGCTTCCTATGGAGTTCCAGTAAGCTGAGATCATTCGCAGCTGGTAACTCCAGAGAGTTCTTTATAGAAGAGAAGATACTTGAGTTGGGTTTCCATGAACAATAAGGGAGTAAAGATAGGTAGAGGCATTCTGGAAACAGTCATAAACAGAAGCATGGTAGTCATGGAGGCTTTCAAAATCCCGGCTCCAGTCATCTGAATTAGAAAGTGATGACCATCAAACCCAAGAGAGAAGCAACTTCTCAGAGTCTTAAGGTGCCCTAAGGTTGGCAGAGACCAAATTTTTAGGTCACTAGGCACATTTTCTTTGTAGCCTAATCACTAATTCATTACTTGTCCTTGGGGCTAAGTCCCTTATCAGTGGCCCTTTCTTGGATTTACACAATTGATGTTTTCTCATTCTTATGCTAAGTGCTGTGCTCACACAATTTAAAGAAAGTGCCTAGCCACCTCCCTACCCCACCCCACCCCAACTACAGTATACTACCATTTCTAGGGCCCCACTGCTTAGGAATTCTAGTTACAATAGCAGTTAGGATTTCTGTGTCTGTATTTCCCAGCCACTAAATGATAAGGAATAGCAAGACACCAAAGATGGAGACCCTCAAAGCTATAGGAGAACAATGTTTATAAAGGCAAATAATGGAAGGGGAGTAGGGGAATGCCAACCCAAGCAAAGTCTCTAAATTATCAAAATTGAACTGAATTGAATTAAAATGACTTACTTTCAGGTTCCTCCTCAGAGGATACTTTTGTTTCCTGTGAAATTAAAAACAAAAACAAAAACTAGCAGTAAACCACTTTTTCTCTGGCAAAATAGTTGATTCCATGTCAAAAATCTCGCAGTATAGTACTTATCCCACCTTAGTTCCCTGAAGGCTCAATCTCTATAATGGATGATTTTATTTTTAAGAAGATAAACTGATCCTCTGTGTTGCCTTAACTAATGCCCCTGGGAGATGGGTCCTTAACATTAACATGGAATGGTTGGGAGCCAGGGATTTAGCTCAGTGGTTCCACCTCCTGCCTTGCAAACAGAAGGACTCAAGTTTGATCCACAGTACAAAAAAAAAAAAAAAAAGAAAGACTGGAAATCATAACATGGAATGGTCAATTTTATTCTTTTACTTCTGAATCTCTTACCTCCTAAGTGAACTTGGGCAAGTTCTTCAACCTCGTTGTGCTTCCATTTTTTTCAACTATAATAGGACTGTTGAGAACACTTACATCATAAGAGCTGTAAGAATGAAAAGAAATAATTCAAAGTATTTAGTAGTCCTCCTAGCACATAATGAATGCTAAATAAATGTTAGCCATTAATTTCACATTGAACTTCACTCTGGTTAGAATCATCGCTTGTTTGTACACAGGCAAAAAGTTTTCTAATTGCTAAGGCAAGAAAGTTCTAACATTTTTCTTCTTTTTATATATAAGTAATATTTTGTAGGACAAAATGGAAAGTACCAAAAAGTACAAGGCATTTGTAATTGTCTCATTTCTATGGACATTAATTTACATTTTAAGTTGTAAAATATTTCTTTTTAAACTTAACATTATTTTTAACATTTTCAGTAAACATATTCCTATTACATTTTTAATATCTGCATGTTTTTCCTTATTAGAATTGTGCCACAATTTATTTAACCAATCCCCTTATTGACAGTTATTTATATTTCTAATTTTTACTATTTTAAACAATATTCTGGCATAACTTTTATACATCACTTTTTCTGAATTTAACCAAAATTTTCCTCAAAATAAATCTTTAAGGGTGAAATTATGAATCTGAGGGTCCACTCTATTGGAGGGACTTATTACAGCCTAGACTTCCAAGTCATCTTTCAGGGGGCCTACAAATTGGCACTCCCACCAGCTGGACAAAGTTTCATTTTCTCATTTCCACCCCACCCATTGGATATTATTTTAAATTTTTATCAAGTTATAGGTCATAAATGTACTTTCATTTTTATTTAAATTTTTTCAAAAGTAATGATGAAAAATTAATAGATTCATTCATCAAATATGCAAATGTTTTTCTGTGACATTCTGGATAATGTCATCAAGGAGATGGCAAAAGTGTGTGAAGAGCACAGAAACTTTCGACTGACAGCTAGGGATCTGAATCCAGGCTCCGCTTCTGGGTTCAGTAGTCTTGGGCAACTTCCTCACCCTCTCTATGCCTCTGCATTTTCATTAAAATAGGGACAATGTTAATGCTTTACTCCACAGGGTTAGGTCTATATTAGCATTTGGGACAATGAGCTACTGTTATTGTTTACCCATTTTTCACTTGTTATGTTGGTCTTCTTTAGGTGGATGTAGTGAGGAGAACAACCTGAAAGACATCCAGAAGTAATAAAGGCACAAAGGGACATAAAGTTTAATGCTGGCTCCTATATTTGAACCTTTCCCAAATTTTGTGTGTTTTGAAAAATGAAGAACAATAATGACTTCCTGCATTGTTTCCCACTTCATGAAACCCTATTTAATTCTTGCAAGGCATCAACCTAATTTTTGCTTGTTTTACACATGACACAGTTCCCCGGGATCCAACAGCTCCCAGGTGGTGTTTTTCCCCTCATCACAACCCATGTTAGGCAGGCACAGTAAAGTATGACTACATTTGCTCTGGAATTCTTGGAGCTCAAGATTTTATATTCTCAACACAGATTATCTTATATAGAACACCTCTCTTTTCCATTATGCAACACACCGGGAAATTATGAGAACCTAATTTTGTGCTTTAATGGTGCTCTTGAATTTGGATGACACTACCTAGAAATACACACACCCCCACAAGTTTCATGGAGGGTCAAAAGGAACTTCAGACTCATCTGGTTCAACTTCCTCATTTACAAAGAAGATTCTAGATCACTACAATCAAAACAGATCCAAGAATTGGAAACAGAGGGCTCAGGGACTAACTTTTGGAATTTGGAAATCTTCTATATAATTTGTTTAAAAACATCAAAATCCAACTCTCGTGCTGATTCAATCAGCTGAGGATGGAGGGACCACAATTACTCTAATTATGTTTAGACAACCTGTCCAAGAAGGGCTTGAGGCAGTTTATGAAGATGGAATTCCATGGCATATATTTCCATGGCATAGATCCTTTGTCTAATGGCAGTGAATCAGTCAATATCTTCTCCTTCCCACAGTCAATATCCCAAACCTTTCTTCTCAGAACTGTTTTTGACATAAGTCACCTAACTTCACTTAGCATTTCTGGGCCTTAGTTTTCTCAGGTGTAAGATGATAGTACTGTTCTAAAAAGTAACTTCCAGAACATTTCACAACTCCATTTCTGGGCCTATATATTGACTCCAGGAATATACTTTCCTGAAACAAAATATTTTGTGACTATAGAAAATCATCACTTCCATGATCACCATTTTTGTAAACTAGCTCAAAAGTTCAGCACAATTCTCAGCCACAGAATACAGCGCAAAGCTTCTTATTTTCAGACTTTAACAAGTCACATATGCTCAAAATAGGTACTGCTTCAAAACATCAAAACAGGGGCCTCACTTAACTTAGGTAAAGGGGAGGGGGTGTAAATCAATCAGCTTCCCTAACTTGACAAATAAAACTTTTCAGTACTTCCACATTAAAAAACCATCTTTTCTGGCTGGATTCCACCAGTCTCTCTCCATAGGACACAATCCTTAGTGACCAGACCGTTGAAGGGTGAGACCTCATCATAGGATCTTTTTTGTTTTGCTTTGTTTTGCTTTTTGGAACCAGGGATAAAACTCAGGGTCCTGTGCTTGCCAGGCAGGTGCGGGGCCACTGAGCTACATCCCCAGCCCTGTAGGATCTTAAGAATTCCCCAGATGAGGTAAATTTTGGGCATCACCAGTCTAGACAAATTGTTTCTAAAGTAGGGTGCATAATTTATCAGTACCCTGAAAAAACAATTTTGGAATATATTTATATATAATTCTTTTAAATAGTTTTATAATTAATATCATTGAGTATAACAGATTAATGTAATAGTAAATATATAACTAATTAACAAATACATATTTATCTGATGTACATTCTAAAACAAAGGTTTTCTGTGAGATGTATATTCTCCAAAAGTTTGAGTCTAAATAATTTTGGGTACATAGCTATTTCTACTAGGTAAGCATTGCTTTAACTATGATCTTCATGGCCTATTGTTAGTTAACGCTACATTTTTATTTGCCTTTCATTTATGCAGTAGAGTTTTTGTCCCCGAAAGTCAATTATAAATGCCTTTAAGGCAAAGATTCGGTTTCCTGGATTTTACCATCTACCATATTCTTGACATAGTGTTAGACCAATCACAATCTGCCACTTCTAGCTGTTGAACTTTGGGCAAACCTTAGTTTCTTCAGTCAAAAAACACTCCAAATCATAGTGTCAACTTCATGGCAATATTATGAGAATTAAAGTGGGGACAGCTATGCAGTTTCTAACATATATAATGGACTCAGTGAATGGGAGCTATGTTCATTACTCATTAAATTGAATTCTTACATTCTATACCTATAGAATGCCACTTGCCATGGTGGGAAATGAGAAAAAAAAGTGTGTAAAATATGACTTCCCTTTAAGAAATTCACAGTCTAATAACAACAAATATTCAAACATACAATCAAAATGCCATATAATAAATGGTCTGATTGGCCATATGTATGAAATACAGTAAGAATTCAGCTAAGAGAGCATTTACTTCTTCCTAGTTCCGTAAAGCATAAATAGAAATTCTCCTACAGGAAAGAAAGTGGCAAGACTTGAAGAATAGCGTAGGTAAATGGGTACCACACCAGTTGTCAGTGTGGTCGGTGATTCATGGAAATTCTTGAGCAATTTTAAGTGATTTACAGGGTTAAAACAATTGTCATAATAATACTAAGACATCATTTGCTTTTCTCACTCTTGCTTTCTTACAAAGGTACAGTGGAGTTTCCCAGAAACCCTATAGCTTATGATATACAACAGACTGAACACAGAAGCAGTTTTGAGAATCAAGCTATCTCCCATTAAAGTGATTTATAAAAATGTAAAATATTGTCTTTCTTCTCATCAAGTTTCATCATTTTGGAAGATGCAGTTATCTTTTATAAAACTGTTTACTCAACATGTAATGGTTTATTATTGTTATTTTGAAGTGAGTTAATGAACAAATAATTTTTAATATTTCAATTCTAATTTCTATAATATAGGAGATATCTGTACATATACATAATATATATATATACATACAATCTGCCAAAAATGTACACAAACTTCAGGAAAATAAAAAATAGTAGGATTTTTTTCAACAGATGGTGTTGCCCTCATATGGAGGACCCTAGAGGATGTTGTACACTGTATCTCAGAAAACCCACTACAATGCCCACCCTTTGGGAAGAAATCGAAAATGCACGTGCAGCAATCTCAGTGACCAAGGTTATCGAAGCAGCAGTTTGCACTACTAATAAATATCTGGAAGCTAATGGCCACCACTTTGAGCATTTCTTGCAATTGTAAAGCCCAAAGGTAATTTGTGTTATTCTCAGGATGTCTCAATAAATTTAGTATTAAAATATTTATACAAGTTTTTCTTTTCCTGAAGTGTGTATATATTTTTTGGCAGACTCTGTTTATTCCTGCCATTAACAAAAGCTCTTTAAGAATCCTGATAATTCTTAGAAGTGAAAAGAGGTCCTGAGACCACTAGTACAAAAATATAAAATTGCATTGTGTGTTCAAGGAATTAAAGAATAAATGAATATGTGCAGTTTGCTACCTCCAGTTCTTTTTAAGAAGGAGTATAAATTATAAATATATACATCACACATTCGTATACAATAAATATATGTATCATCCTCTCAGTCTATGAATGACAGATAAAATACGCTAAAATGCTGAGAGGGTTAATCTGATTTCATTGGTGATTTTGAGAAAGAATGAGGGAGCAGATTTACTTAATCCAGTGAAAGTCATCAAACATAAATTTGCAAACTAAAATACTGCCTGAGCTGAGGCCATGTGTTTAATTTTAGCAAGTAGGATGAATATGTTTGGTAGGTATTTATACTAAGGAGTGGACTGAGCTGGAGATGGTCTTGACAGTGGAAACAGTGATATAACCTTTATTATTTTCAATGCAAAAAAATGAAGTATTAATGTGATGCTCTGGTTGAGAATTTAAACTCTCAAAAAATCTGGAAATTCAAAGTCATGGTACCCATAGCAACCATAACTCTGCCCCCTTGCATGCCCAGTGTGGAGTATTTTGTATTGCAGTACATGCTGTGAAATCTATGCCTAAATGTGCTATATAGCAGAGTTACAGTTGCTGTGGGAACTGTAACTTTGAATTGCCTGCCTTTTGTGTCATTAAACTTTCAGCTGAAGTATTGCATTAAAAGAGTTTTTTTTCTTCCACTGCATTTCCTCATTTAAAAAAAATTGATTGGGCATTTTTTAAAAAAGGATGTAAATGATGTTAGATTCAAATGGCAGGATAATGCATTGTAGTTTCTCAGATATATGCACTGATATAGCATTAGTGAATTGCCACATTTACATATTTCAACCTGCACTAACAAGTCATAAAATAATCCTCTATTTATATAGCACCTTTAATCCTGATGGGTCCTATCACATACATAGACATATAGTAACCAAACCAGACTTGACAAGAAAACTCAATAAATATTTAACAATGCCCAACAAAATTATTCAGTGCTTTAGGACAAGCAATAGGTAAGAAAGTCACTATCATCCAGTGGCTGGAACATAAACCACAGAATGAGAAATCTAACACTCCGTTCTTATTCTTGTGATGGCATGACTTTCTCTTTGATATTGAGTCAATGATTTGAATCCCTCATATCTCTGGATATTCCATTTTCTCTGTTTATTGTGGAAGTATTTCTAGGCCCAATGGCAAGAAAAGATTTCAGAAGGTCATTTGTTGAGCCTACTACTCCTAGCTAAAGATGTACTTATGAATTCTTGAACAAGAGTCAGCAAACTTCTACTACAAAGGCCAGGATGGCAAATATTTTAGAATTTGAGAACCATCAGTTCCCATTGCTATTCAACTCTACCATTTTTAAAAAATTAATTTTATTGGTACATTTTAGGTATACAATATAATGAATGACATTCATCATTGGTAATTTGCACCTTTACATAATCTCTCTTGGTTCTTATTTTTTCACCATTCCAACTCTGCCATTTTAGCAAAACAATAGTCACAGGCAACACACAAATGAATGCACAGGGCTGAATCCCAATAAAATTTTTTAGGAAACTTGAAATTTGAATTTCATATAATTTTTATATGTCTCAAAATATTATTCTTCTAGTGAATCTTTAACCTTTTTAAAATGTAAAACATGTTCTTAGCCTGCAGGCTGTATAAAAGCAGGTGGTGAGTGTGCTGTAATTTGCTGATCCCTGCTCTAGAAGTTTGGGTTGTATGTCATGCTCCAGGCTGCCTACAGTGTGGACTTCTGAGTATTGGACATACTTCTGTGTATTTTTTTACTTTAAAAAAGTACACATGTATTTGTTTTGAAATATGTAGATCTTGAGCTACAAATCTATGTATTTTGAGACCTAGTTATATGCATATGTATATTATATATACATATATATATATGTCCATAAGTATAATATTCATTTTGACCCAAAAACATGGCATTAATGTCCAAATAATAATAAAACATAAAACACTCTTCATTGCAAGTTCCACATAGCCAATTTATTCTTATAGAATGTTTTTGTTATTATTTGCTGAGCTCCTGTATCAAAAGCTAACCTATGATCTCAATTCATGAGTGTAACATCAACTTGAACGTTGTTTGGTATTTCATTTCTATTAAGGAGTAAGACAAAGTGAAAAATCAAAGATGTAGACCAAAATTCACTCTTTCATTAATGACATTAGTAGTTTTCATTAATAACTTCTTTGTTGCTATTAGATAATAGCTTTCCAAATTTTTCTCAATTTTTATGCTATTCACAACATAATTGGTAACTGGGAGGGGTACTTTTAAATTTAATCTCCTTATTAGGGTTCTCCAGAGAAACAGAACCAATAAATTACATATAACATAGAGATACACATGCACACACACATGTATATGTTTGTATGTATATGTGTGTGTGAAAAAAGATTGATTTACTGCAAAAAATTGGCTTACATGATTGATCACGGAGACTGAGAAATCTCAAGTTCTGCAGTCATCAAGGTGGAGACCTAGTTGATATGTATTATAGTCCCAGTTTTATTCCAAAGTTCTGATAACCAACGGAGCTGATGTTTCAATTTGAGCCTGAAATATACAAGACCAAGGTCAAAGCTTAAGCAGCTGGGTGGGAGGCATTCCCATTCACTTAGCCTTTTTGTTCTATGTAGGCCTTCAATTGCTTGGGTGAGGCCCACCCACATTAGGGAGGACAATCAGCATCTACTGAATCAAATGTTAATCTCATTCAAAAGCAGACGCATCCAGAATAAAATGTGACCAAATAGATGGGCACCTCATGGCTCAGTCACCTGGTTACAAAATTGTCTATCATAATCTGTAATATTAACATTTTCCATCACTTTCCTTAAGTCTAAATTGTCAACAAAGCAAAAAATCAAGCACTGACTTGTAATGTTCATTGAATTCTGTAAGCTGTACTGTCACCATGGCTAATATCAAAGCTACCAATGTGATGTCAACGGATGTGGAAGAGATGTGCAGTAGTAGCATGCTATTATATAGTACTAGGAACACAAAAATACAAAAGATATAGACAACCTCAAGTTAACACCGAGTATGGTAAAATAATTAGAAAGCCATAAGCTTCTAGTAATATACCATCTTTTATAATTTATTTAATTGTGAGTTTATATAATTTAATGTTTAATAATGGATGTGCTTCATAGCCAACTTGCAAAATTCCTAACATGTAATAATCACCTCTGTGGAGATCATAGGAACTAGTTCCAGCATGGAGGAGATTCATCTGGTTCCTGATCTTTTTTGTGCAAAGCCCATCCCATTTCATTACAGCCAAAGCTTATAGAAAATGAGGACAGAAACAATTTCATTATTCTTCTTGGTATTTTTTTCTGTAATACACAAATCTCTTAACACTTTTATTGAATTATCACATTTACATATCTCAACCTGCAACAAGAAGTCATAAAATTATCAGTCTATGACATGGCAAAATGTAAATGCAGGTAGTCAAGGGATTGGCTGGCACTCCCCGGGGTTTGGTTGGCAACTCAGCAGATGACCAGCTTGGATAATTCTGCCACAATTATCTCAGAAATTCCAACAAAGCCAGAATTAAGGTTTGAGTCTTGCAGATAAATATAGTTATGGGCATGGAGACACAGAAAATCAGTGAAGAATGGTTCCCTTGACTTTCAGTCTAGTGATTTACCCACCACATTTACTCTGCTTCTAAATAATGAGTTACTTAATGCTTGTCAAGTAATTTTAAGTAGTAAATCACCAAATACAAGGCATCATTAACGTCCATTTGAAACTGCACAGAGAGAATTTTTTAGTAGGCAATATAGAGTCCCCCAGTGAAGCCAAGACTCCATGTCTGTACATTTTCTTGTCTTTTTTTTTTTTTTAAATAAGGTATGGCAAGATGTTTTAATAACCTCAATGGATGTTTTTAGTATGACCTAAGAGAGTTGTTCCCGGCAATTTCTCTAATACCATGTTGGGGGTCAGCTTGATTGAATTATTAATATGTGGATTGCAACTGAGTTTGAAGAAAAAGGAGGCTGTGAGTCACCACTAAGCTTTCCGCCAGCACCTTGCCATTTGAGATGGAACGGTGTGGGATTCTAGAAAGAGAGACAAGTTCACGATCCAGTCAAAAGTCATATATGTACTCCTGCAGTGTATGATTTTTTTAAAGAGCTTAGTTATTTCTAAACTAAGTAAGTCATAAATGTCAAGGGCATTAAAGGCAACGGATTGCTAAAAATAAGGGGTGTTTGGGTATGTTTGTGATGGGGGGAAGGAGCAAGACTTAGCTTTCATTTCCAAATAGAAAAAGTAAACAGACTCACCATTGCTGTTTTAGCTGAAAATGACTTGGGCAAATATAATCCCACTTGCCTGAAAATACTTGGTTAATCTCAGACCGGAGAGGAAAATCAAGATAAGATAGAAGTTTCCATCTGTACTGAGGGTAGGGAAACTTGGTTCTGGTGCCCACAAGGGCATCACATGACCCCTTCCCGGGAGATCCCTTTCGCCAAGCTTCCCTCATCACTCTTGGCCTTGGCTCCAAATGTATGAGAAACTGTCTTCATTCCGTCCTTCTGAAGCAACCAGCCTTCACTGCCCGGACGTGAGCTAGAGTCCCACCCACCACGGCAGCCCCGCAGACTGGCAATAAATAGGAGCCCCAAATTTAAGATGTAGCTCAACCTTTGACCACTAGATGTCTCTTAGAAAGCAATGACCCGTATAACCCGGTTTGTCCTTCAAACCAATTGACTTGTTGCGCTGGCTTAGCCAGCCAGCTCTGTGCAGGCCGCCTTATTAATATTGTCACTCACTCCACGGCTCATGATGGCTCCAGGCTCGGAAGGGGGATAGGACCAGGTGGTGGCTGACCCTTAGACAGTGCTAGCTTGTTAGCCCACGAATCAGTCTGTACACTGTAGGGCTACCACCTCAAACCTACCCTTTGACCAAGATGGGTAGCGTCCTTAACTCAAGGTCCCCAGATGAGAAGTGCATTGCCCCTTGGACTTCCACCTAGCGACGGACTAGCCAGGGTCCAGTGTTCAAAAGCACCTAGCGTCCGGTCCCCCCACAGGCCAGGATCCACGCCCCCCTCCCTCTTAGCCCCGCTCACTCCCGGCTGCCTTCTCCTCTCCCTTTTGGTTCGGGGAACCGGCCAAGTGGCCAGAGTCTTAACCCGTAGATGGGTAGGAGGGAACCTTTCACCATCCTGGTTCTGTTCGGGATGGGGGGGGGAGGATATTTTCTGGAAAAATTAGCTGGAAGAAGCAAGAAACAAGACGAGGTGGGGGAGCTGAAGGGGAGTAAGAAAGGAAGCAGCCAGGTTGAATTCCCAGTCTTTATCAACCAATTCCTCCCCAATGAAAGAAAGCTGCACTGGCAGATTCGAGCCACATGCGGTAGTGTGTAGCAATTAGTGGATAAAATGCTGACTAAAGTGCTAAAACATGAAATAGTATTGTAGCCAAGGTCAAAAATGCTTCAGTTTTCTTTTGCAATTTGGGGGAGGGGAGGCCCAGGGGTGTGCAGAGATATTTGCATTTTAGAAATGGTCGTCTTCTTATTTCAAACTGTACTTTTTTTAATGATCCTGTTTATTATAGTCCAAGCTGCCTAATTATGTCACTGCCGGTTTTTGCAACTAACTTAATCCTCCTGATCCTTTATGAAATGATTCACAGACATTGAATAATGTGTCTTTACCACCCCCCACACTCCCTTGAGAGGAGAGAAGGATTTTTAATCTTTTACTTTTTAAATATATCAAATAACTTAAAACAGAAAGTTGGATTTGGGGGTTAATAAAGCAGCAGAAGTGTAGATGTGTGGACATAGGTTTCTGTGCCTCAGTACCAAAAAAGCCCAGAAATAGTAGGTCGTATAAATGTACACTGCTTCCCCTCATCACCACCTCTTTTATACACAGCGAGTCCCAGCTACAAGCTTTTTTTATAGATAAATAAAGCAGTTGCTTTCATGATTATAACTGTCCTGAATGGATTGTCTTCTTCCAACATTCAATCTGTTTATGAGTATTTACTTTACATTAGCCCGGGGACCCTGCACTGCAGGAGTTTGCCTCTATTCCCCTGGGTGTCAGTGTCTCAAGTCTTACATCTGCTCTGTGATTGATGGAGCCTCGAATCCACCTTATTACTCTCTCACAAGCAGAAATCAAACAGGCTATTAACTACATTACTTCAAAGAACTGTCTCAATACAATCTTCTTATCTTAATTGAAACTTTCTTTGTATGGATATTTGCTACACAGATAATTTACAGGTGCCTATCAAACATCATATTAAAAAAGAGGTAAAATAGAGAGCCTTTTTGGAGGGGGGGGTACAATTATTTTGACCTGTAATTTTTTAAACCATTCACAGTATTGAAGCAAGGTTTGATTTATTAGATTTATTATGTTCATGGGAGTGGTGCTCACGGTGCTATAAAAAGATGGGAAAGTGACCCTTGTGATTCAGTTTTGAAATTTAGCCTTCATCTGATTGTAAGAATGTAGATATTCACAAATATTCAGACCTAGGTCCCTGTGATTGTTGACATCTCAAAAATGTTATCAGAGAGATCAAGAGCATGCAGCCTAGTGAGTCCCTGCCTTGAAGAGACATAGAAACAGGGTTTGTAATTAGATGAAGCCAGGTTACACCAGGTTACAGACACTTAAAGACTTACAGCACCAAAGACAGCAGAAGTTGCTTAGATGCTGTAAAGAGCTGAGCATTTTTTAAGAGAGAGATTTAATACACAATCGAGGGATACCCTCAGGCATTCTGTTGAGGTTTCCTGCATAAATGCTGTTGCATCGGTCATACAGGAAACTGACTCAGAGTCGATCTCAAATAAGATCTTGTCAAAATACTGCAACTCAAGATCTTTAATATAGGATTTCTTAAACTGCATGTATATATTTATGCTAACAGGACAGGGACTAACAGAAGGCTGAGGAGTATTTCATGTTATTTTTCAAAAAATTATGTAAAATGCCCTTCAGTCAAGTCCATTCATATGTTAAAAATGAACAAAATAGGTTATCCTAATCAAACTTCTGCAGTATGCATCATAAAGTTAAAAAGAGAGAGAGAGCAAGAGAGCTGTAATTTATCTTTATAGCCCATGTTTATAAAATAGGAAGATCAGATGAAATTTCAAGGAAGATAATTGAAGAGTGATGTGCAAGTCATAATTTGGCTAATGCAAAAGATAGGAGACTGTGAATTGTGTTACATTGTTGTCCTCCATGGTGCAGAGTTGTGATATTACTTTAAATTATTAAAATAGTTTTCCACAGCTTTCAGAATACCGACTCTTTGGCATGGGCATTTATTACTTATTGTAATTGGAGGATCTGCCATTTTCTTTCGTTTATCTGTGTGTGTACAGAAACGAGATAGATCTTGCCTTTTATTACTTCCCCATGTTCTGAATAAAAAATGTGGTTTAGATAATGTTAAGTGCCCTAATTCTTACTGCAGCGGATGCAGACATTATGAAAAGGCATAAAAATACACACAGAGGGTCTTTCCACCTCAAGTCACTGAATATGAGGCATTTGTGCTCTGCCGGGTGTATTAACTTCAGCCATGTGAATATAATTTTCATTAAACTAATCCTGTTTCAACTAGATGCTGTGACTAGAGGTGAAACGTTGCGAAAGCGTTAAAAATAGCTTACTAGTAATTTCAACATCCTGTAATTTTATCACAGATCAAGTTTCAACTGTCATACTATACAGACCTTATTCCTCTTATAGGACATGTTTACTTTTTTAGCATGCCAGACCCACTTTGGAAAGATTGGTGCCAATATAATAAAATCACGCGGGAGGTGGGATGGGGGTGCTGGAAGAGTGGGAGTGGGAGGAGAGCGGGGAAGGGGTGGGGGAGCGTGGGGGAAGCGAGTACACCATTTTACATCAACACTGCGAAAATGCAATCTAGCCTGGCGGAGGACCGGCAGCTGGGTCGGAGCGAGTGAGCTAGGGTTTTGCAGTCTGTGCCTGTTCCTTGTTCTGTCGCTCTTAAGTTTCTCTGTGTTTGCATAATAGCCGTGCATGCAAACCTTGCAATGCTCCAGGGCTCCAGAACAATAAATATACACATTTAAAGCCTTTATTGTCTTACAGTTCATGCCCCCGGTTTTCAACAGCTTAATTTCTGGTTGTATTTAACTAGTTTGCAAATGGATTTTTTTTCAGTTCCAAACTATTATTGAGGAAGCTCCCCTCCCTTTTTTGGCGGGGGAGGAGATGGGGGTGGGGTAGGAGTTGGTATATTATTCCTGTAGCGCTGGGTTATATAAACACATTATCATTTGAGAGCGCCCTTGGCGTCCATCAGCATTGTAAACACGTACTAGTGTACATACTTCAAAATTAAAGAATGCACACGCAGAATCGGGAGCCTGAATTCATATTCCGAGCAGACTCGCTGCTCGCATTTATTGATTTATCATGCATCTTTTATTGTTCCAGTCCCTAAATGCAGTCGCTGTCCGTTCAATATTGTTTGCAAAATCCCGAGATGTGTGTACACTGCTCACTTGTCTTTCTGTTCTTCTCCTTCTTCTTCTTCTTCTTTTTTGCTGAGTATTTTTTTTTCCGAAGCGAACAAATGCATTAATATTTATATGTTTATATAATCGATAACCCACTTTTCCCTCCCATGTAAATAGGCATCAAAAGATAATTTAACAGATTACTTCTCGAAAACATGGCAGTGAGGAAGCGTAATTTAACTATCAAACAAATCTACATGTCTAATAACAGCAAATCTGCTAAGGAGCATTAGAAAGAGGAGCAGCGCCCCGGAATCTCTGCAGGAAATGTTCTTTATATTAGACATATACAAGTAGGTCCTGTCAGATACACAGAGGAGCTCTCTAGTCCTTGTCTCCTCCAAAAATCTCCTCAGACGATACCCTTAAACAGGGGCATTTAGAAAGAGAAAGAACACCTTTTCACACAATTTTAGAGTGGATTTTAATTTTTCAAATCTTCCTAACTGGTTTACTCCTTGACCCATTCGCTTCCCGCCGAGATCGGAAGGAGCCTTTCTCCCGATTATGAATTTGATCAACCCATGTTTGGAAGGAAATCCATGTAGTTGTGATGGGAGCTGAAAATTGAGTCGTCAGAGAAATATTAGGTCATATTTTCAATCATTTTGATGCCGAAGGGGAGGCAAGAGCTCAGTTTTATATTGAGACATTACGCCAGCTGAAAGCACAGAATGTTTTTCCCTGCCAGGACCTGATGCAATCCATTCAAGCCAACAAGTTTGGAGAGAATGTTGAGTTCAATCAATTCAGAACGTCGAGATGGAGCCCAACTCACTCCAGGTATTTCGCTCTCCTCCGCTTCTCCGATCCTGGCACCCCCGGCACCCCCCAGCCCCCCAGCTCACCCACACCTCTGCACCCACCCACACCCCCACAAACTTTTCACCAAACTTTTACCCTCTGCATCCCCCCAAATCATTTTTATTGTTTAAAAAAATCTCCGCACTGATCATACATACATAATGTAATTTTACCGCCTCAGACGG